ATAAATGCCTTTTATTATGTTGAGGAATGTCCCTTCTATTCCTATTTTGCTGAGAGTTTTGATCAGAAATGGGTGCTGGATTTTATCAAATGCCTTTTCTGCATCAATTGATGCTAATTAATTTTTAATTGGCAGATAACCTTTAAAATATTTCAAAGTAAATCACATATATAACTTCTCATGTTTATTACAAAGGTAAATTCTGTATCTAAAGAGTAATAAAAATCCACATAGTTGAAAGAATATCCAAATTTCTTTTTTAACTCTTGATTATCAAAGGACTGACATCTTATATTCCCAAAACTTTATTTTCTAGCTCCCTTCCTGATGCGTGCCTCTGGGCATTTTGGAATTCACTTCCTGTTTTCACCAAGGAACTGCATGAGGAACCTGGGACAAACTCAAACCTGTCATCATTCTGACCTAGTCTGAAGCAAGAGTGAGTAGAAGCTCCATGTACAGGTACAACCCTAGGAGCTTATTTAGCTATCTGTTCCCTGTCCCCACTTGTGATAGACAAAGTCTAAATGAAAGGTAAGTGGTTTCAGTTATCCTAAAATATTTAAAATCTTCATTTGCAAGGACAACCATTCTCCCTCACTTCCTTAGGACAGTAATCTCTGATGACATTTTTAAAACTACATTTAAAAACACAGCTACAAATGAGTATTTTAACAAGAGTTTATAATACCCTTACATATAACACAAATAGCAAACTTGATAGAAGGTTTTTAGGACAATTATTATCCAAAATTTAGTATTTACCTGAGCTTGCATGTACCCAAGTAGAGGTTCTAACAATGCTATTTTCTTCTTGTACTGAAGAGTATTTAATGCACAAAAATAATGCATCATGGTCTGGTGTTGTTTTTTTCTGGAAGTGTACACATCTTCTGTTAATTCATATTTTACCTTTTGAACAAAAAGATTAAAAATTCTATTACTAATTTTGGGTTATTTTCAACAGTGGTTGAGGGGAAGAGCCTACCAAGGAAAAGGTAAATCATCAGCAACTGTGCGAAGCCTTACTGTTTAATAATGTATTTGAAATCCTTCAACATACTGGCTAAGATGATTTTCCTGTATAGCATATAGTTCCTGGTTATGAACATGATCCTTTCCTAAGGGTGTCTTTAAGTCATATTTGTACATAAGCAGAATAGGTGCATATAGTTCTTATGTACCCCTACTTTAGTACAAGAAAAGGCTCAAAGCCTTTTTCCATGATTTAAAAGCTGCACATGCAGCATTGGGCAATCTACTTCCTTAGCGATACCTCCTCGGAAACTCAAGGAGGGGTTGCTATGAGTCAGATCCGACTCGATGGCAGTGAGTTTGTTTTTGTTTTGTTTTACATGCAGCAAGTGAAGGTGATTGTGATGAAGAATTTGTTGTCGTAGGGACTGGTTTAATTTTTTAAACAAGAGGGTAAATGTACATAACATTAAACGGCAAGTTCAAAACATCCATAAGTCTCAAATTCATAACCCGGGGACTTAATGGTACAATAACTAAACTGAGCAAGGCAGAAAGAAGCTACCAAAGGGAGAGGCAGCCAGCTTACCCATTAGTCTTTAACCTTGATCAGTTCATAGCATACCACTCTCTCCTCCTAGTTATCTCCTTACTGATCTTTCTCTCTTCACCTGCTTATCTTCCTATACCCACTCTTAAAGTTCATTTATTCAAATGACAAACTTTGTGTACTTATTATGTAGTAAGTACTGAGCTCTTCTCTTTCCTGCTTTCCTCTGAATGTCTCATCAAATACCTAGAATACTCCAACATACCAATGACTTGCCAATTTTTATCTCCTGTCTCTTGCTCCACACCAAGTGCCAGCAGCTGTACAAATCCACCTGGATTATTTGTGTATGTGTGTGTATCTATTGTGTGGTGTATGTGTACCTGTGTGTGTGTGTGTATGTATAAGTATTGAAACTTGTATGTGTGTATAAATACAAATATCTTCCCCACAAAACTGGCTCCTCCATTTATGTTTCTAAGTTCTCTTAATTACTCCAGCATGCACGCAATCATGTAAAAACATCTAAGGCTCATTTTTCACTCCTCCCCTGACCCTATGTCTTGTCAATCCTACTTACAAAGTATCTATCAAAAATATTCCCAGCTCTCCACTTTCAATAAAAACGTTAGCTTAGACCCTATTAAGTCTTTGCAAACTATTCCAATACCTTTTCACTGGATCCCCTCTAGTCCTGTCCCCTCCATATTTCTGAAACTACATATAGCTGAAACTTCATATTTTTGTTCTTTACACAATTGCATAGTGTTAGTCACCTATTTGAAATCCTCTAGAAGGTTCCCCCACTCCCACTAAGAGAAAGTTCAAATTCATTAACACAGTGATTTAGCCCCACGCTACTTATTTCTTGTCATCTCTGCCACAACTCCCCAAATATATTCTATGCTCCAGACACAATGAAATGATTATCTTTCCATCATCATACTATTGTCAGAATTTACTAAAAACTTCCTATAAGCCAGGTATTCACATGCATTATCTCATTTCATCTTCACAATCACTGAGGATTTTTGATAAGGAATTAAAGCTTGAAGCTAAGAACGTAGCTGCATGACCTCAGGCAAGTAAGTGACAGAGCTGAGATATGTCCACAGGCAGCCTGACTCCAGAGCCAGTGGCTGAAACCATTATGCTCTTCTGACTCCACCATGTGTGTCTACAAATGCAGTTCTTCTTCCAGGAATGCCCTCCCCAAATCCTTCTAGCTGCAATGTAAATATCACCTCCTAAAAGTATAACCTTTCCCAATTCACCAATGAAAGCTAACAGCTGCCCTCTCTGTGCTCTCTCTCAGCACTTTGTAAAGACATCTATTACTGCACTTAACTCAGTGGTAATCCATGCCTTCTCTTTATCGAAGCACCCTGACACCATCCTAGGCACATGCCTTCACAGGAAGCCTTCAATCAGTTTTATTCCCCCTTGGTAGCCAACATCCTACTTTAATTTAGTAGGTACTCAATACATTTTTTTTTTCAGTACATTTTTTTTAATACAATGAAATTGATGAAAGATTTTTTTTTCAATATTTGGAACAGTCAGAAGCATTGCAGAATGTACCAAAATTTATACATAGAACCTTAAACTACTTTGCTAAGGCAGAGTGACAAAGTAATGTAGATCTCGAAATGCATGTATCTGCACCATCAAATGACTTGTGATCCAAAACCAGCAAGGGAAAGAAGTCACTCGGAAAACAAGATTGTCTAAAAGCGAAGTAAAGCAGCTGTGTCCAAAATAGTTTATCAGAGACCTAGCACGTAACATCTTTGCATGAGAAATGTTCCCTTTATTGTGTCACAGTATTATCAAAATATAAAGCAAAAACAGGAAATGTCATGTAGGTAGTCAATTATACTTCTGTAATAGTTATGTTTACTTATAACATCAAATTGTAGTAGAAGAATATTTTCTCTCAAGAGACCAACAATTATCTATTTATTTATATCTCACCTTATTTCAGAAAGGCTTTAAAACAGCTAGAAGGAAAGAATAAATGAAGACTAATATAGCAAAACATAGTAAGTGATCACTAGTTACTACTTTTAAGGAAGAAAAAAACTAGACCACCTAATGAAGTGGGCACTAATGGTAATACTGAAGTAGTACATATGTACCACACCTTGTCATTTTCTCTTTTTTTGGACAATCGGCTGTATCTGTTAATTGCAGCATCGTGATCTGGAAAACAAAAATGATTGTTAAGGACAAGCATTGGCAAAATTTAAATGCCTTAAATGTTCTTCACATTTAAATCTTCCTGCAAATGGAGTAAAGGAAGATTAAGAATTTTCTACTACAGGATCACTCCATTCACATGTTCCCCATTGCAATTTGCCCCTACATTACGTTTCTATTCAACAAATTAGTAAAAACACTTTTATAATGAAATTATAACCTGGTAAAGGTTTTTAAAAAGTAATTCTTAGTACAAAAATAGCAAATGCTTTTTAAAGAAAATTTTGAATATAGCACAAATTAAGGAAAGGAAAAAAATTATACCACTTCCTTAGGTGTTAACAACATAGTAAACCACAAGATCCATTTAATTTCCTTTTAAATTTTCTTGTAAACACTTTCAGTAGCAACTTGATTTAAATAACACTCACCTAAACTTTTAAGTACATTCATTTTTCTCAATTAATACATTAAATATGGCCAAAGGCTTACATTGAAAAATAAATATATTTTTACAGGAAACAAGGATGTCAAGTATTCAGGCTTACCATTACTAGCAATCTGAAACACTTCCTTTAATGTCAGTATTTCTGAAAAAGTTCAAAAATAATTTCAGTTTACCATATTTATGAAATATTCATCTTAAATTTTGTTCGGAAATCTGTAACTGCAGCTTAAGCTGTAATTAAAACCCCAAATATTATTTCATAAATCCAAGTTAAAAGTTATTCTGTTATACTAGAAGCTGCTCTGCAGAACATTACCATTAGCAACAGTTACACCACCAGAAAATCCACTTGCCCCAAATCAGTATTATGACATAAAAACAAATATTTAAATCCATCGCAAATGCTAAGATATGTAAATATTGACTTAGTGCCAGAATCCAACTTATTAATTCATCTTTTAATATATAACTCTAATAAGTTAAAATGCTGAGTGAAAAGACCATTTTAATGTTAATGATTATGACAGCCTTTTAGACTGTGAGGAAAAAGATCTATTTCTTGACCTTACAAATGACTATTCATAAAAATCACCACAGTTACTGATTCCATCTCCAAAACACTTACGTTTTTATTCTATGTATAAATTAAATGTTTCCACTAATCCACTGGTTCAGTATTTTCATTTTATTTACATACTATGTAAACAAGTTGGTATGACCCACTGAGACTATAAATTATGAGAAAGCAGAGCCAATTCAATAAACCCAAAGACCAAACCCACTGCCTTTGAGTTGATTCCCACACACAGTGATCCTACAGGATAAAGCAGAACTGCCCCATAGGGTTTCCAAGGCTGTAAATCTTTACAGAAGCAAACTGCCTCATCTTTCTCTCACGGAGTGGCTAGTGGTTTGAACCACTGATCTTTTGGTTAGTAGCGGAATGGTTTAACTGCTGAGCCAAATAAAGCTCTCTGCAAGCCCAAATGAAGGGGAATAAAACTCAAAATTACTCAAAAAAATGTGATGTGTTGCTAAATGAATCAACATCCCCATCTTGTGCCACTACAGACCATATACACACCTCCATACCTATGTCACTATCCCAGGCCAGACCCTGTCATAATGCTGTAGACTTTTACATATTACTAATCCAACTTCCTGGACCCAAATCAACTATTCCACACTCCAAAAACAAAGTGATCATGTCTCTCTACTCCTGAAAAATCTACATTGGGACTTCCGGTAAGATGGCAGAATAGCCAGACAAGCTATACAGACACTCTTCAACAAAGAAAAGACAAAGAGAAACCAATTGACAGAGATACAGAAGATAATCCTGGAGCCTTGAGCTTTGAAAGAAGTATACGGAAGTGGATTAGGCACCAACTAGTGTAAAAACTCCACTCCTCGGAAGGAAGGTTGGGCAATCTACTCCCGCAGTGATAATGCCTTGGAAACCCAAGGAGGGGTGGCTATGAGTTGGATGGCACTGAGTTTTGTTTTGTTTTTTTTTTTTTGGAGTGGAAAAACCTGACCAAAAACAGGACCTAAGAATAGGCTCCATTTGTCAAGGACAGCAAGTACATACAGGAGGTAGACAACGGGAAAGGAGACAGGTGGTGAGTGTATAAGTGCTGCCACCTAACAAATAGAGGAGCACAGCACAGTACCCTGTTTACATAGATAACATCCAAAGAAAACAAAAATCTTTGGCAAGTCACTCCAACATACAATCACCGATTATATAAACACAAAAATGTCACAATACCTCAGAGATAACAGAGCATCACAGTCCATACAAAGAAGCAAGATAAAACAGAAGAAACAAGGAACCAAGACACAGACCCAAAACACATCCCTGAGGAAGACACAGCATTGGAACTCCCTGATAAGGAATTCAAAAGAATTATATTTAGGTATCTTCAACGAATTGAGAGATAGACCAAGGAAAACTGACAAAATTGAGGAAAACACTGACAAAACCCTACAACAATTTAGAAAGACAATACAAAAACAAATGACAAAATAAATGAAAAATTAGAAATGATACAAAATCTATAGAAAGAAATCTAGAAGATTAATACTAAATTTTCAGAAATAGGTAACACATTGAATGGGCAAAGGATAGAATTGAATCAATGGAAGACAGAATTAGTGAGACTGAAGACAAATACCTGAATACTTCTTTGGAAAGGGATCAATCACAAAAAAGATCAAAATAAAATGAAGACAGTCTAAGGTTTGTGTGGGATACCATCAACAGGAATAATCTATGTGTAATCGGAATTCCAAAACAGGAAGGGACAAAAAAACCACAAAAAATTGTCAAAGATTTGTTGGAAGAGAATTCTCCTGGTATGATGAAAGATGAAAATAAATCCATTCAAGAAGTCCAAAGAACCCCAAACAGGATAGACCCCAAAAGAAAATCACCAAGACCTATTATCATCAAACTCAACAAAACCAAAGACAAAGAAAGAATCATGAGAGCAGCACAGGAAAAACGAAAAGTTACCTACAAGGAGCAACCAATAAGACTAAGCTCGGATTGCTCAGCAGAAACCATGCAGGTGAGAAGACAATGAGATTGTATATATAAAACCCTGAAAGAGAAAAATTTCTAACCAAGATTATATACCCAGCAAAACTGTCTCTCAAATATGATGGTGAAATTAGAAGATTTCCAGATAAGCTGAAATTAAGGGAATTTGTTAAAACCAGACCAACCTTACAAGAGACGCTACAGGAAGTCCTGTGGACAGAGAACCAACAACAGCAAACAACAACTGACCATTAACGCACATGATGACATAACCCAGAAACCAACCCAGTTATAGAAGTATCTAAAGTAAATAAGCCTACAAGATTGTAAACAGGGAACCAGAGACATCACAAATGAGGACAACCACAAACCAAAAAGAGGGAAAAAACTGTGTAGTTACAGAACTTGTAAATGGTAGGGAAGTCAAACAAACTACAAGATAAAATAGACTATTCTAAACTTGGGAAGAAAATTATAAATCACAGGGTAGCTTCAAGGAAAAATGATAAACCTTCACGTCAAAATAAAAAAGACTAGCACAAATATTTAGCAAATACTAAAACAATAGCAATGAAGGAAGTGATAACACAATTGATAAACAAAATGAGCGCAGCACAGAAAATTATATAGAAGAAATCAGCACCATGAAAAAGCACATTATAAAACGACAGCAACAAAATCATACTTGTCGATAATTATGTATCTGACAAGGGACTTATCTCTAAAATTTATAGAAAACTCCAACACCTCAACAATAAAAAAATAAACAATCCAATTTAAAAATGGGCAGAAGACATGAATAGACACTTCACCAAAGAGGATGGATATTCAGGGGCCAGCAAATACATGAAGAAATGCTCATGATCATTAGCCATCAGAGAGATGCAAATCGAAACAACGAGATACTATCTCACCCCAGCACTAATGGCAAAGTTCAACAAGACAGAAAATAACAAATGCTGGGAAGGATGTGGAGAGACTGGAATTCTCATACACTGTCGGTGGGACTGTAATACAATACTACCACTGTGGAAAACAATATGGTGATTCCTTGAAAAGTTGGAATTAGAAATACCATTTGACCCAGCCATTCCATTACTAGGTATATATCCTAAGAAGAAGAGAGCCAGGACAAGAACAGACATATGCACACCCATGTTCATCACAGCACTATTTACAATAGCAAAAAGATGGAAACAATCTAGATGCCCATCAACGTAAGAATGGATAACCTAACTATGGTACATACACACAATGGAATACTATGCAAAACTAAGGAATAATGTAGAATCTGCAAAAGATTGCATAACATGGATGAACTCAGAGGACATTATGCTGAGTGAAAAAAGTCAATCCTAGAAGGACAAATAGTGTTAGCTCATTATTGTAAAAAGTCAAGAAAAAGTTTCTATATGGAAGGAAACTTTCTTTGCTAGTTACAAGGGGTGGGAGGGGAGGGAAGGGAACACTTAAAAAAAAAAAAAGCACTCACCCATGTCACGTTAGTGTTGTATATTTCACTGTATATAAATTATATTTCAATAAAATACATTTTTTAAAAAAAATCTACATTGCCTTCTTGCTCATAAACTTAAATCCAACCTCTAATCCCAACCAACCTATTTCTAGTTTCATCTCCTGCCACGCCCCAACTCATCCAACTCTGCAGCCACACTGAGTTTCTCTAAACAACTTCAAAGCAAACTAGATATTTCTATAACACGTACCTTTATACATTCTGTTGTTGTTGTTTTTATGTGCTGTCAAGTCGGACCCTACTCATAGTGACCCCTCCTTGGGTTTCCAAGGTGTTATCACTATGGAAGAAAATTGCCCAACCTTCCTTCCAAGAAGTGGCAGGGGGGTTTCAACCGCCAGCCTTCTGGTTAGCAGTCAAGTGCCTTAGGCACTATGCTACTAGAGCTCCCTTATACATTCTAGTCCCTCTAAAACAGTAGTTTCTCTCTTCTGGCAAACTCCTCCTCATTGTTAAATGCTCATGTCACATTTTTGATGAAGGCTTTCTGACCCCTTCCCTCTGAGCCCAAATCACACCATACTCATTCCCTGATTATAAGAGACATAGTGTCACAATTATCTGTTTACTTATGTCCTTCTTTAAGCTTTTTCAAGAGAAGGAACATTTTATTTATATCAGTATTCCTCACATCTAGTTTGACACCTAGCAATACTTTCTATAAATGTTTGGTGACTGATGAAAGTTAAGGGGCAGAGGTTAGAGTCAGCAATCATGGAGGTATAGAATAACATAGTTATAAGCACTGATCTTCTAATACCTGAGAAAAACAAGCATAAGTTTGACTTCAATACCTTTAAGGTCTCTTTCTTTAAACTGGGTAATAGGGAACATCATGGCATCAGCAAGCTGAGTTGAAAGTACAGCATGGCAAGAGCTAAGCTAGTAAAAGAAGACCGAAAAAAAAAAAAAAAAAAGCCAAGTAACTAACTAATCAGAGACATTAGGCTAAAGTTACACAAACTAAACAAAATTTAGTTAAAAAAATTTAAGATACATTTTCTGTAAGGGGACACTAAAAATTATGTGATACAGTACAAAACATTATACAGTCAAAAATTTTCAATTTCCTATTTAATTATTGTTTATATTGATTTCCATAGGACAATGTTTTGCTATAAAGTATTATTCAAATATTTTAAGAAATTACTTTTCCAATTAAGAGGATCTCAAAAAGATAGAATCATCTAGGAGTCCAAACAAAATAAAGAGTTTTCATTAAAACTAAACAGTGTGTACTAGACCCACATCCCTCACACCACCTTCCTTCCTCCTTGCTTCTGATGGAATGATTTGTTCTATTATGTGTTTTGGAAAGTTAGGGTTGGTTTTGGCTCTCTGAGGTGAAAGGATAAATAATGACTGAAGGTAAGATGTTTCTGGATGGCAAAAGAAAGGAACTGTACAGAACCTCGCTGTAATTCACAACTTAACTCTTCTCTCCCAGCTTAAATCAAAAAAACAGAATCGAAAGATTGAATGTTCCACTGACTGAGAGTAGAGATATCACAGCTATGCACTTATTCCTGAAAAATAATTTGTTTTGATCAAACAAATAAAATACTGTTTTTATGACTGCCACCAAGATATAGAAATAAGGTCCTTCTTTAAATAATATTCTTTACAACAGAGCTTTACTCATATAACAATGATAATAAAAGTTCCCAGTGAAAGCTAAACAACTTGAGTACCTTTATTATAAGACCACTAATTCAAGCAAAATAAAATAAATGCTTACCTCATCTATAACTTTTGAAAACTGCTGCAAAGTAGAGCTCATAACTTCATCATCACCCCCTAGTGGAAAACGCTGAAGAGTGAGAAACAGAGGCGAAGGGTCTGTGAGTTGTTTTTTTTTTTTTT